ATACTTTCGGTGAATGTTGTCTAAAATTACTAAATCTAAAAATTTTCACCACGTTTGAAAAAATTTTCTAACTGATAATACAAATATCTGGATTAATAAAATGATGATGATGATGATGATAATGATAATGATAATGATAATATGTATAAAAGGAAAAGGGAAAAGTTGGAACTGATTTATTATTATTATTATTACTTCACATTACGTAATTATTACCATAAATATTACTATTCGAATGTATGTAAAAAAAAAAAAAAATGGAAAATCTCGTGTATTTTTTTTTGTTTTATTATTATTATTATTATTATTATTGGTATCCATCGATATTGCGATTGATTGATTGATTGATTAATTAGTGTTTTGAAATTAATTATTATAATATCATAATAAATTATTTATTAAAATATTTTCTTTTTTTTTTCTTTTTTTTTTTTGTGTGCGACGCTTTAAAAAATTATTATCATTATTATTATTATTATTATTGTTATTGTGGTTTTTTTTAAATCAGAAAAAAAGAAATGGGGTAGGGTGGAGAATGAGGGGAAGGAAAAAAATATTAAAATTTTGATGTAAAAATAATTGAAGTTTAATAGTAGTAGTTAAATGATTGATAATGATAACAAATTTTTAATAATGATAATAATAATTAATGCCCCAAATGAAAAAGGAGAGAAAATCGGGGGCTGGGGTTGGGGTTTTTGGAGGTGGGGAGGGTGAGGGGGTTGAATTTGAAATAATTTTTTTTTGTTTTTTCTAAATCATCAATCCAGCAGGTTTAAACAATAATTTATTCTCTGATAAAGATAAAGAGAGAGAGAGAGAGAGAGAGGGTGAGGGGAAAAATAAAATTAAATCAACAGTAAAATTAATAATAATAATGATGACTGTTTATAATAATTGTTGTAAAAGTTTGATTTGATTGTTGTAGGTGTAGATTAATAAAAAAAGAAAAAAAAGAGCATAAAAATCTTTAAAAATTATTTTCTTATTGATGTAGTAGTGTTTCTGTTTTTTTTTTTTTTTTAAGAAAAAAAATATTTTTTTAAAATTTCAATAATGATGATGATGATGATGATTTATATAGCCAAAAAAAATGATCATCTTCGATGCACAAATATTACATCAAATAATA